GCGGGGCGGTTCTTAATATCTGGTAATGTGGAAGGGTACCCGGGGATTGTGATCAAGCTATACATCAATTCCTACTTAGAAGTCTAGGGCAGCTACTAACAAAGAGTTCGTATCGCTGGTTCGATTCCGGCCACTCGGACTTGATGTTGTGACTTGCGATCTTTATTGGACCGTTCAAGTCGTAGCAAATAAGGGTTTGAGTTACACTCGAAACATCCTCCTTTGTTCAATGTGGGCTTGTTGAATCTATGCTTTAAACCCACTTCCCCGCACTGTTTGATAAGCATGGGGTGCACTAGTTCTATGTGGAACGATTAATGGGTTGGTGGGGCTGTTCTCAATATCTGGTAATGTGGAAGGGTACCCAGGGATTGAGATCAAGCTATACATTTATTCCTAGTTAGGGTTCTAGGGCAGCCATTAACAAAGAGCTTGTATAATCGGCCGAAATCTGTAGCAACCGAACTAAGGTTTCAATGTGTTGTGGACAAAGCTCACGAGTTCAAAATGAATTTTGCAGTAAACCATATTTACAACCTAAATTTGACGTTCAGTATGTCTTCACTGAGCTTCCACAGCTTGTTCGCATTCTCCAGTGAATGGCTCGACTTGGCACCAGTTTCGAGAGCGGGATAACCTCGAAAACGCAAGAATCCATTAGGGCCATAGTATTCACCTCCTTTAACGCTCTCCATCGTCGCAGCATACAAAATAGAGAGCACACCCATTTGACACGTCATGAAGGGCAGCATCGATACAAACCACATGGCAATGGCAGCCAACCATCTTGGGAAGTTGGTAACATAGTAACGATTCCAAATGTCACTACGCGTCACACCTGGATGTGCTGCAACTGCCACGACATTTTCCACCTGTGCAGCCTCTAAACGACGCTGTAATTCAAAGGTGAAAAGCAAATTTGACAGTTTTGACGTCGTATAGTCAACACTTCTTCCGCTAGTGTATCCCAGTGTCGAAAAATTCAAAAACATCCAGGCAACGTAGTGTGTAACACTGCTAACGTTAACTACACGAGCTTGGTGTTTTGAACGGCGTAGCATATCCAGTAGTAAGCTTGTGAGGTAAAAATGACCTAAGTGATTGATGGCAAAATGAGTCTCCACGCCGTTCGATGTATGGCGTTGAGCCGGCCCGCACACGCCTGCGTTATTGATAAGTAGATCCAAGTGATCAAATTTGTCGTGGAATGCACGAACAAAGTCACGAACACTAGATGGATCTCCAACGTCCACTTTCATAAACTCAACCGAGCCAACAACTTCATCTGACCTCTTGATCAGATCGTGACGAATCCGTTCCTCCGCTTGTCGTCCACGCTCTTCGTTACGACACGCAAGAATCACATGTGCGCCATGTATTGCCAATGATTTAGCTGCTTCAAAACCAATACCCGAGTTGGCACCCGTTACAATCGCGAGCTTATCCTTTTGCGACGGCATCATCGAGACATCCCACATTTTGGCTACTTGAATCTTACATCAAATGGTATTAAATCAGGGTAAAATACAAAAACATAATTTATTCCTTACTGATATATATTATTAATTAATAGTTTAAAAAAGTAATTGAAATTTTTCAAAAGATTAAAATGTTCATATTCGTCCAATCATCAAATTAACGTGTTGGCCATCCAGTGAAGAGACATCATGAAGGTCAAGACAATCTCTCGTGTTGAGAAGGAATTTACGCAAGAAGTGCAATCGGATAAGCTCAAAGTCTTTCGTAATTATGATCCTGCACTTCATCCATTTGAACGACCACGTGAGTACATTCGAGCACTTAATGCTGTCAAGCTTGAGCGGATGTTTGCCAAACCATTTGTTGGAGCTCTTGATGGTCATTGCGACGGTGTGACAGCATTAGCAACAAATCCAAAAAGTTTAGTTGCTTTTGTGAGTGGTGCAGCTGATGGTGAAGTGCGTGTATGGGATTTACCTCGACGTAAATGTGTCTGGAATGTATATGGACACCGTGGCTTTGTCCGTGGATTAGCTGTTGCTGTTGATGGCAATAGTTTTTACTCATGTAGTGAAGACAAGACAGTGAAACAATGGGCGCTACGTATTAAGGAGGAGGATGAAGGTGTTCCAACGCCATTGACTACATTTACATCGAAAGAACCATTTTTGTACGTACATTTTGAATGACTTAACGAGTACGAGTACGGATTCTGACGTACGAGCTTGTATTTTATTGATAGAGGTATTGATCATCACTGGTCGGAGAACATATTTGCCACTTGTGGCTCCAAAGTACAAGTATGGGATCCTTCTCGCTCAACGCCTACACATGAATTTGCATGGGGAGCAGATTCCATTACGTCGGTGCATTTTAATCCAGCAGAAGCATCGCTCCTTGCATCTACAGGATCCGATCGTAATATCACGCTCTATGATATCCGTTTGGCATCGTCAATGCGTAAAATTGTGATGGAAATGCGGTCAAATGCGCTTGCATGGAATCCTATGGAGCCTATGAACTTTACAGTTGTACGTCTTTCGTTACTATCGAGCTTGATATACTTGCTGCATTATCAACCGTGATAAAATGGATACATAGGCTAATGAAGACCACAATTTGTACACATTCGACATGCGTCAAATGACTCGTGCGATGAAAGTGCATAAAGACCACGTCTCGGCTGTGTGCGTATATTTTGATTGTTGATCGTACAATTATAAACATTTTAACCAGCTCATGTGTGCAGCATGGATGTGGCGTACTCTCCAACTGGTCGGGAATTCGTCGCAGGTTCATACGATCGAACGATTCGTATCTTTAACGTAAGATCAGCTAAAAGTCGCGAGGTATACCATACACAACGTATGCAGCGGTACGTCTGGCACTTTCACTACGTCTTTCTAGTCTCAACACTTGTATTGAGACATGCTACATGTAATTTTCTTCCTTTAGAATCTTTTCGGTCAAGTTCAGTGCCGACTCGAACTTTGTGTTATCCGGTAGTGACGATACAAATATTCGTATTTGGAAAGCTGACGCATCGAAAAAACTTGCAAAGGTACACAATATCGTTACAATACATGATATACTTTACATCTGACATGGTTTTTCATGCAGATTGCACCACAAGAACGTCGTAAAATGGAATATAACGAGTCGCTCAAAGAGCGATATCAGCATGTGCGCGAACTTAATCGAATTTCAAAGTACGTAGTGTCACATCTGCCCAGGGTTATTTCTATAACGCCAAACGAGGATGAGCATGGAGATATTGGTCCACCCCATGAACATTAATATTGACTTGATGTCTTTCTGCTATTTATAATCATATAGACATCGACATGTACCTCGAGCTATTAAGAAAGCAACTCAAGCTAAACGTGAGTCTAGTACTCGGGAGCAAAAGAAAATGGCTAGCCGTCGTGCACATGCGAAAAAGGGAGCCGTGCCACATGTTAACATTCGAGAGAAAGTTGTGATTAAGGAACTGGAGTAGATGACTAATTGCTATGGCTGACGTGCTAGTATCATGGTCGGAAACCATCCATTGCTAATCGTCTTGGAATGTTCTTGAGATCACGCAACCATGTCTAATCAACTAATTTGGTTGTTATCTTCACTACTCACTTAGGGTTGAGATACGTCATATCTCTACCCTGCGATACAGAAAACAAAAGCTTAGTATATTGTCGAGACCTTTTGCGACTTTCCATAATTGCAGATGGGTAAATCATGCGAACACCACTAGTCTGCTCTAGGATTGCTGACGTACCTCTGAGTCGATCGTCTTTTGTGCTGTTTTTGGTCCTAATAACTGAGCTATCAGTCAGAAATACGGAACATCAGCGTCTTCTTCGAAGAGGGATAGGGGTACGCTTTACCCCTAATTAGTAGTTGAGTGGAGCGGACGTTGTGAGCAACGTGGTACGCCGTCCGCTCTCAAAGAAATGGTTCCAGCTTCAAGGAGATTGATGCGTTTGTCATTGTTACTCCTGAAGAGTGACGAAGACGGCGGCAAGGTATCAAACTGTTTATGAATGTGTCGATGCTGATAGATAAATTGTTGTTTTGGTGAAAGGTCGTTGATAGTCGTGATTGGATGCAGTTCATCACTATTATTTATCGCTTCATTCAAGCGTCGAAAACAAATCAATAAGAGCTCGCATTGTATGGAGCATTTCACGTAAATGGTACGATGCTGCTAGCTTTTAGAACGTAAGATGGATGTAAATGCACGGAGAAATGGTACAAAAGGAAGTGATATCAGCATCTTCTGAGCCAAAAGCCTTAAAATTGGAAACTTCCGCCTTATTTCTTAAAGAAGGAATTCCATCAAAACAGCCAATAATTGAACGAACGAGTAAGCAAGAGAAAATCAGAAGAAATAGACAAAGTAGGCAGAATCGAAAAAAAGTGAACGCGAAAAGATAGAGAAAAATGAGAAACGAGATGAATGATTGGCAGAGATTTTACTCAAAATCATTATTTTAATGCATAATACGTTATCGATTACTTGTTAAATTCGAATAGCACAATGTGAGATGTCACACCGTAATCCTTTCTTCTAATTTTCAGGACATTGTTTCATCTACCGCGTCTCATCTCAGCAGCATTAGAAATCGTACAATGCTTGAATGGGTCATTTGTTTTTTTCGTCCCCAAAAAATTGGAGGTAATATTTATATTTTTTCTTAATACAATCTATACAAGCTCATCGTAATGGTCGATCATGTATCGTTCTCTTGTCTTCCTTTTTTTCTTTTTGTCTTTCCTTTTCTGTTTTTTTCTTCTGTTTCTTTCTTGCTGATTTAACTTTCTGATCAAAGGCTGATCGATTGGGGTTTCAAGCTCTGAGTAGCTCACCAGAGTTTCTGATGTTGGGGGTTCCGGGTATCCAGATCTGGCGATTTTCGATCTGGGGGTTCCGGGTCTGGGGATTCTAGATCTGAAAGTTCCAGGTCATGAAATTTTGTTCGTCTGCAATGTCTATTATACAGATATTCCATGCATTTGCATGCATTACCCGATCCGGGAATGATCAGAATTATACTAAACACGAAGAATATACCACTCACAACGTGAGCAGTTTTTACTCCTCTGTCAACAAGTGGATTTTGTCCGAAAGATGCAGAAATGATGGCAAGTATGACCTCGAGGACAAATACGAAACACCATATCGTACCCGCCAGCATATTCCAAGGAGATCCTTCACCAAAACAACAAGTGATCTCTCAGCAATAGCATATAAAAAAACCACATGATGACCTACCACCGTTCTCATCCCTCGAATAAGGAGCAACCACGATAAGTGCATCACTTTGTGATAACCCAAACGCTCCGATTCCAAATTCTGGATTCAGGGGTCGCTTCATCTCAAACGTCGACCGGTTCGCGTAGACTGTGAGGTCGGCTGCAATGACAGTCGCTGGGAGAGAATGGGAGACTGCTGTAAACACTGCCTTCTGAAATCTTTCCACATCTTCATCATTAACGTCAACAGAAAACTTTTGAGGTTTCTTCCCATCTTCGTGCCAGAGCTGGAGAAATTTTCGCTGCATCCTCAATCTACTGAGATCAAAAGTGGACCCAGAGTACCGTCTATACCGCATTGTCCGCTTCGTTGCACCCCTAAGTAAGGGTAAAATTCACCCTTTTTTAGTATATTCTATTTTGCTGCTACATTGACATTGTTCTTCCAGTGCAATCCAGAACAGTTACATTAATCCTGGTACCTACCGAAGACATTACGTCCTTCGTGCATTTGTATATGTAATTTCACACAGCAACAAAGTTGAAGCCTTTCGCTAAGAAGATTGCCACACTTTACCTCTACGAAAGCAAAGAAAGCAAGAAAAAGAGCGTGCGTCAACAGCATCTTTGCGCTCCACGTACGTCTCAACAAATCTACGCAACGAGTTCTCATCGTTCATACCAATAGCCATGAGAAATCGTCTTGAGCTTATTATACTTCACAAAGCCATTTGCCAGTCGGCTACCCATCCACCCCCCAGCACGCCACGGTCATAGGTTGAACGTACGATGCAAATCTTGGACTTGACTTTGCTGCGGCGAAAAAAAGTCGCAAAATAGAAATTTCTTTTATTTGATTCTTTATCGTTAAACAGTGCTGACTTCGTCATCATTTGGTGGTAAAATTTTTGGCCAATATAGAATTCGACTCTATTACGTTCTACCAGCTGGAAATACGTCGACTAAACCACCTGATCTATATTTCTAATAATATACCTCAAGTGTTATGTACTTTGATGCCATTATCTGTCGCGAACTCTCCATAAAAGAGCGTTCCGGTTTTGCGGCAGACGGGGCGGACGCAGCCGCTGACAATCACTCCAGCCCTCTCCCCTCTCCCTCGCGGCAACTCCAATGACGGTCTCACAACCAAAACCGCTTTGTAGCCCGTAACACTCTGAACTGCGTGCGGACAGAATGAAGCTCAAGGCGGCAAACGACTCGAAGACAGCGCTTGAGCTAGCCGAGTCGAGCGAGTGGAGCGCTCTAGATCGTCTTATCTCGGCGCAGCGAGAGCGTGCAGATGATATGGACGATTTTGGCATGATGCCATTGCACTGGGCATGCACGGACACACATGTACCATTGCGTATTGTGAAAAAGCTGGTAGAGGTTGCTCCATCAGCTTTAAGTCATAAGAATAAGGGTGGTCTTTTACCGCTACATATTGCTATTAAAGCTGCTACAAAACTTGAGGTGTTGCGTGCACTCGTGCAAGGTGCACCGGACGTGGCTGAGTGTTTGTTTGAAGAAACTCCCACGGGTGAGACGCCAGCAGAGCTTGCGCGGGCATATCAGCTGACGGATGACAAAATAAACTTTCTTGTGGATATTGAGCAACAATTACGGGCAGCTGGTAAGGCACCTGATCGCCCAAGTGCAAGGTTTCAGGCGTTTTTGAATCAACCTGGGGGTTTCTCGCTCGCTTCAGATGACACGTCTAGTGTCAGCAGCTTCAAAAGTCTACCTACTGCATTAGGTAGTAAGACATTGGATGATGAATGGACAAACAATAGAAATGTAATGGGCGCTTTGCGATTGCCTGATGGACTCGCTGGTGTGCCGCTACCACCACGTTGGCGACTGGATAAGCGTTGTAATATTTGTCAACTCAAGTTTAGCTACTTTAAGACGCGTCATCACTGTCGTTCGTGCGGCGAGTCAGTTTGTAGTACTCACTCGAATAAACGGCTGGTGTTGCATCACTTAAGCCTAAAGACGCCACAACGCGTGTGTATTTTATGCTATGACGACTTACGTGAGAATGGCGCGCCTTCTGCTGTCGTAAATATGTACGGCCACGGGCGTCATACCGGGTTGCCACCTATGGATTCTAACATGTCACGACAAGAGTCCACGCTACACTCGGTTAAAGGTTCCGGCCGACCGCCACTACGGTCTTTTAACAGCACAGTATCACTGACCAACACTTCGTCTAGCAGCCGTGACTCGGCGCTCCAGAGTCCACCGGAAGCTGACAAATATTTGACGAGTGCAAACACACCGCGTCGTGCTGCACCGCATGATGGAGGTTTTACTGGCAACGTGGCAGACCGCGACCCGACTCTGACATCGAATCTACCGATTGATGACGAATCGCGCGTTCGTCCTCGTGCCTGGACAGATGTCGACTCTACAGAAAAGTATCAAGACATGCAAGAACAAGTGCGCGAGCTAGAGTCGCACGTTCAAGAGCTCACACTGGCTAAGTCTCTATTGGAGCGAAAGCTGGAGGATACTACCATTATGGCCGCAGATGCTAACAAGGAGCACAATGCAGTTAATGCGAATGTGGCTGAGCTCCGTAATAACCGAATTATCGATATAAACCGAATCTCATTCGATGATGATGATGAGGATGACGAGAATCATCAGAATCATGGTAACAGTAGTGTGCCTGACTTTACCAAAAGTTTTATGCAAGGGAGACACCGTCAGCTCTCAGTGGAGGTCGAAAAGAAGATTGTGTTGATTGAGGACAAGGATGTGAATGTTGCTGAAACATGCAACTTTTTGGGGCAAGTTTATCTGGATCGAGGCGACTTTAGCAGTGCGGTGGAGGAATTTCGCAAATCTGTGGAAGCAAATCGAAAGGATCTCGACGTATGGGTCAACCTGGCACGTGCACTTCACGGTGCAGGCGAGTTTTACGATGCAGAGATCGCCATCCGGCGTGCAATCGCCCTCAGCTCAAATAATTATGCTTGCTTATCTATGTATGGCAAGATTCTGCATTCAAAGGGTGAGCATGACAAGGCTGTTGAAGTCTTTCGCGAGGCACTATCTTTAATGGATCAAGAAGAGGAATCGGATGAAGATGTTGGCTCGATGACTGTGGGTTGGTGAGCGAAATGAAGCTAATCAAGCCAAACTCTTCTTCTGGATCTATTTGTAACTTCTTGAGACAAGAGTTTGGTTGACCCGCACGTCACAACTTGGGGTACAACTTTGCAACAAAGATATATAGGTTGGGATATTACACACTGTTATTTAGTGATAGGAGGCTATTTTTCATCCCAGGCCTCACACAAGGGACCGCACAACACACGTACAGTAGGAATAAGCAGAAAACGCAAGCCAAAGCACACATTTAAATCTTATATTGAAGTGCGTTGCATCATAGCAGTCCGTGCATGTCTTTCTATGCCGCAAAGAGATCTTCACTTCAATACCATATTTATGTGCTCGAAGCAATTGATGGATTCTCCTAACATACAGCAGTCTCTGTCTCAGTCACCCACAATAGTAATGTTGAAGTGCCAATCATGATTTATTACTGCAAGTGAATATCTGGGGTCGAATTCGCACTTCATATGGAAATTAGCATTTCATATGGAGTCTCTGTCGGTTATCTCCATAGTTGAATTTAAATATTTTCATCTTTAAGATGGAAAACAGTCGTGCTAAGGTACATGCTAGTTTTTTCCTCGTGTCTAAGCTCTTGCCTTTTTTACGGTGCTGACTTTTGGTAATAATGTCCAGTACAAAGGTGACATGGAGTTTGGGCGGTATCACGGTAATGGTGTGCTGCAGCTTCCTGACGACTGTCGGTACGAAGGTGAGTTTCAAGACGGCGAATTTCATGGTCACGGGATACTTTTCTTTCCAGAAGGAGAGCTAGAAGGTGAATGGGCTTATGGCAAGGTAAGAAACGACGAAGTTTTTAAAGCTTGTTTTCTATTGAGTTTAAGTAGGTCTGTTTTTATAGCAAGTTGAAGGCACCTTTACGTTTTCAGACGGGCTAGAGTATGCATCAACAGACTGGACATATTGCACGAATTCAAACCGACAGTACTATTCCGAATCAGTATCGCCTCGTGGCATTCTACCAACAGGCGAACTCCAGTATTTTGATACTGGAGTTAATCGCGTTGTACCACTTGGATCATTTGATGCTGGAAACGGTATTTACTCACCTTCAACGGGTTTAATTTCGGCTTACGACGACTCGTCAGATACTCGCAAGCCAAGCGAACAGGAAAAACAGTGGATTTTAATTCGTGCTCCTAAGTCAACTACTACGACGATGGATACGACCGTCAATTGAGAAGGCCAACTGGATTTTAACAATTGTCGTACGAGTTGATAGAAACTTTTTTCGAAACAGCCGGTTTCTAAAAAATTTACTGGATTTCGGTCACTGCTTCAACATTTTTCTTTAAACTTTTTATGAAACGGAAAGTTTTAACTCCTCACAATCTTGGCGTCACATGATATTCCTGCAAATATAGCATTATGGTGAGAATCATGTAAGGAGCCCATGATAGTGAGTACCTTAATTTTCATCATTCAAAGTGATCATTTCCATTCTTTGTTGCATTCCTGCCGTATGATGTGCCTGAGGTGGTGAGTCGCAAGTAATCAATTCTTTTTTCTTGCTTTGACTGCACTCTTCTAAGCTCTTCATGAGATGATCATTTACCTGTGACACAGCATTTAATAAGTTACATTTGCTCTCAAGCTCAAATTATTCGACATACAGTTAAGCACTCTTCCAGAGTCCGCTCGTCAATTTTGCCCATGATCCCTCCTTCAATCAGAGTGTTCATCCTCGGCTGGCATTGTCGCAAGAAATCTAAGATATCGTCCAGTTCCTCTCCAGTCTGTCCGCGAAAGTATAAATCCTTTAGCACCTTGATCTTTTGCTGTACCACTTTTAAATCATCGTGAAGTTTCTGCAATTGCAGCTCTCTTGTCTTTCGTACAGGACCAGCACCTGCTGAGGAGCTCAAAACGTTCTCCTCACGAACAGAATCTATTGACGACGGCGGCGTAAAGACCGGAGCATCATGTTCCACCTCAGGAAAAGCAACTCCTTGCAACTTCAGCTGTCTATACACGTGCTGAAAGGCCCCACCTTTGAAAGCATCTGCCCACTGTTGAATCAACAGCAAAGCTTGATTCTGCACGTCTACACCCAAGCTACCATCTGTAACTCTAACTACCTGATTCAAAAAGTTTCTAGACGCTACTCGACTGTGAATCTTAGATGGTCCGTTCTTCACCAGTGTCTCTGTCAACACAAGCGCCAAGAGCGTCACTTTGGGGTTACCGCTCTGGAGACGATGCAGCAAGAAACGCACAATATCATCGCAATACCGGCGACGTGCATTTGCACAATCACATAGTGCCATGTTGAGTGCCCATTCAGGTCCTTCTAGAGTCGAATCCGTCGCGCGTGCCACCAAACCTTCCAATTCCGCCACCTCTTGCGCATACTCGGACATATTTTTCGAACTTATAAGTGATAATTTGGGTGCCCACACAAAAAATGTTTTTGTCATACTAACGCCTGAAGTACATGATGCCACTTGAAAAGTATGTCAGTTGTCTTACTGTACCACATGGTCTATACACTGAGCACCTTGTAAGTACAAGAACAAATTCTCGTTACTGCTTGCCATCTGTAAACTTTGTGCTACTTCTTATCATTAGGTAATCAGACATGCGCTACTGTATCAATTATTTGGTTCTTAGCGTGACGGCTGTTGCGAGCGTGATGTAATTGACTTTTTTATGCTTAAATATCCAAAAAGGTGGTCCTTTTAACACTCCTCATCACCCACACATTTAATGGTCAATATATCTAGTATTTTCGACAACTTTACTTTACTTTATTGGTAAGACCTTAAATATCAAGTCGGCCTGGCCTGCTTGTCATTCAAATCGTCATTGTAGCATCCACCGCCGTAATCCACTCGTAGAGCTCAATCCATATCTAATAAGAGGTGCTTTGACTGCAGCCTCTTGATCTAGTGCGTAAAATTCCAGGCTTGAAAATTTGCCCGGTATTTTATCCTATTATTTTATGCAAAATAATTGAAGGTGCAGTGGAGTCGAGCAAAATACGGTCCGCGGTCGAAATCTTTGAAAGCCAAGACTTTATTCGAAAATGAGAATAAGATGTGGTGAATATGTGATGAAGCCAGGATCCAAACAATTTTGACCAGGTAATGTGGAGCGAACAGAAGGAGAAGCGACCAATGAAGTGTCTAAAGTGCTGCTTAATAAGGAAATACGGTTTGACGTTTGCCGTACCACCTCAGGTGTCGCACGAATTGCAAAAAGTGGTCTAGCAACCAATACTGGTGCAAATGGAAAGATTGATCAATGTAAGGCTTGATTGGTGGTTTGTGGGATAAGCCTTTCGGAGTAAATGACACGTCGAGTTTTAAGGCAGTAAGGAAAACTATCGATCATCGAGGTAACCCCAGGGAGTCAAACGAGAAACATCAACTTGCCGAAGCATGAATTTAAGCTAACAAAGATGCCAATTTGAACATCTTCATAAAGAACTGTGAAAGATTGAAGCCTGACGACAAGATTTCTTAGCAAGTAGGAGAATTCTTCTGCATCATCTCACTCGTGTCCTTTACCATCACACACGTCCACGGTACCTCCTGGTGCAAGATCTCAGTGCCATCTACTCTGCTTCTGCTGAGATCAGCGCCACTGTTTTCTATTACTGTGACTTAAATACCACTAGACCATTCTCGACCCTGACCAACACGCCTGATACGGAACGCCTATCATCGATTTGTTTTCCCAATTAGCGTCCGTGAATGCTTCAAGCATAATCTTACCAGATCCTCTTTCGTACACGATTCCGTGAAAGCGTGTTGTCGTCAAATGAGGAAGCACAATAATCGCAGCTCGCCAGTGCTGTAGTCCTGGGTTATCAAGAAATCCTGACAGCTGCATTACAACGTAGGCAATATCCAACCTGGTACACGTCGTAATGTACATAAGACATCCAATTAAAGATCAGTACAGTCTTGACTGCATCTCAGTGGCTTCTGCATCTGTTCCTGGCGAATGGTCTTTCGACAGCAGAGGTTGGAAACATTGGTGGATTGCTGGCCAAATCGCTCTTTCACATCGTCGATGTACCGAGTCTGCTTGATTATCAGCGTCTTGCACGCTTGCCGTGGTCGAGATCCATCCCCGAGATAAATTTTAGGTCGCCAAGTTCCTTCATCTTAAAAGCGTTCCTGAGAGCATATTCAATTCTTAGGACCTCGACAGGGGCCTTGGCTACAAATGTCATATCGTCCACGTGCAGACAGATGTATACAAAGCCGTTTTGAGAGCGCTACACATAGATCCGTACCACATGTTCTTCATGAATTCCCCGTTTATAGTTCTGCTTCAGGCGGATGCTGCTTGCGCTACCCGTAAATGGCTTTTTCAGCAGACAAACGTGATTCTCAATGCCGGATGGTACCTCCATGTACACACAGTCATTTAGTTCAATGTTCAGGAACGCAGTGTTAGCATCAAATTTTTCCATTTCATAAGATCTACGTTGCATATTTCCAAGGCAGCACGAATTGAGCTCATATTTGCCACAGGGAGGATACATCTCAAAGAAATCCACGCCGTACTTTTGCTTAGACCCTTAGTCACCAACCGTGCCTTGTAGCGAATAAATTGACAATTTTCGTCACAATCCAATCGGATGAGTCGTGCCACGCGGTACAAGCGACCAAGAACCATTATCTTTGTGTGATAGCAGTTCAGCCTCATTGACTCCCTTCATGCCACTGCCTCATTGCTTATGGTTGCTTCGGCATACGTGGATGGAGTGTCAGGAGCGCCGTCGATCCTTGCCGCATGCACTAATACTGCTTCAGCAATATTCATTCTCGTCGATTCTTGGACGCTATGAGGATGATGCACCGTTGCTCCCTTCCGACCTTGTAACGGGGCCGCCGTCGCTCTTTTGCTTAGAGGAAGGTTAGTTAAGGTCGGCAACTTCGTTTTATCATCAGGACCAGTACGAGTGTAGCGAATCGCAAACCGCTTACTTTAAGTGTAACTACAAGCTTTTCCCAAGGTTAATATTCTCTTCCGTTTAAATGTAAACTGTATTTCTGGGTTCGCGGGAAACCCGCCTATATCTACATCGATAGGTTTCCCTATCTATAAAGTAAAATCGTATAAATGTATAACTTCTGGCTATTCCAGCCACGTACTGACTTGTTGTTCAATTTTAGCCACATCTTTGTGAGATTTCACCATCTTGTGTTTTCACACCTTTGTACAGTTACATCATTTGTGTGAACACGTTACACTCTCCCCGATCAAGATTGTGATTGTGAGTACTTACAGTTCACATTCAACTGTCGCCTCGAACGAGGCTCGCGTGTCTAAGACACTACAGAACCACCGGGACCTTCTTCCATTTGTCTGCTTTATGAGGCCTGTGTCGAGAAAACGGAAGACATCCAGCTTTGATGTTTCCGAGAGTGCCCCTGGGCAGAGCCTTTTTTCGTCTCTGCACGCTGTGCAACTCCGAACAGTACGTACGACGCTTCAAGGGAAGCACAGCCCAAGCCCACGGTAACCGAGTACCATGCACCGCGCTCACCACAGACGGTGAATCACCTCGTTAAGGGCTTGGAGGAAGTCAACTACGAGTCGGACACTCCATTTTCAAGGTGTAAAGAAGAGAGGGCGAGATGCCCCAGCGGCGCGACGTGAGCCCTGCTCAAACTTTTCGGGCGCCGTATCCGATCCCGACATCTCGACTGCCGGGTTATATGGTTTCATTACCGATATTATCGACGAGACACATAAGCAGCAGCTGGATGTTGCCCGCAGGGCGACTCTCATGCGCTTGGATCCACGGTCGGTCCCAGGACCCGCGTGTGGAATTCATCTTTCGATTCGGCGGATCTCGCTGCAGAAGCGAAGGACGCGATCGCTCGATCGTTTGGCGTCTAAGTAGTTGGGCCCCCGGCCACTACGCAAGCCGAGCTTGACCATCAAAAAGCTCTCCGAGTTCGCTTCTTTGTACCTTAAAGGATCTTAATGGATAGGTACCCCACTTGATTTTGTGCTTAGAGAGGAGGCGCTCCTATACCAGCGATGCGGACGGTTCCTGTGGTGCTCACCCTGGGCAAACCGCTGCAGACGACGAGGAGCTCTTTAAGCGAAGGGTGCAGCGGCACCAGAAACTTTTTTCGCTGTACAACTTACAGTTGAGCCACCGAAAGTGGGCGCGAATGTGAAACGTCATCTTCGGTTTGAGTTTGCCAAACTGGAGGCACGACACTGAGATCCTTCGGATTGTCGCCCTGCGACGTGTGGATTATATCCATCACGCTCCCGCGATCTCTGTGCTCCCTCTCTTACGAGTAAGTCTGTGATCGTAGCAGCTCAGGGCCATAGCTTGGGCTTAGCCCATGGCCCTTCGGCTTCCCTGGCTAATGCCGATAAGCGCAGGGCATATGACGACGCGAGACGTCAAGATTCATTTGATCATAAGCGTCCACGACGTCCGGGCAGTCTTGCCGAAATGGTACCTCAAACTCTCTCGAGTTCTTAGAAAC